CTCAAATGCGCCGTTTTCATATCAACACGGAACCATTGGCCTTGGAGAATGGTATTGGTATTGACTCAGTTATTTGCCAGCTGTTGCCGTATGATGGCGCTAGTAGAGCGCTAGTGTTATACGCTCTGCTAGCGCCACCATGCGGCGCCAGTTGGCTAAAAATCTGTTCAATATCACGGCTTCTGGAGAATGCCTTAGATTCATTTCATACAGATAGAAATAATTTCAAAGCTGATTGAGTTATGAAATGCATTTAAATATCAAACCAAGGCCATGGGTATCAGACATGAACTGCGACTTCCGGTGGGCACAGTGACTTTGGTAATTGGTATGTCAATGTCTTTGAAAAGGCAGGTAAGATTTGCAACTGGTCAGCCTTGCTTCAATTGGATTTGTGTCCATTATAAATGGATTTCAGTCATACTTACCTACATATGTTATTGGTATTCGATTTCTAGAGCCCAAAATATTGTTGGGTGTGTACAGCAAACTGAATGGAAGTGATGTGTACAAACATTGAAGTACCTATTTTCTGGACTGCTTGCAGTTAGAACTTGTTTGCTTTGTTGTAGGTGACAAGATAAGAAATTGAAGCAAGACTGACCAGTGACCAGTATGCTACAGAATAGGTAGCCCAATCTGCAGGAATATTAGAATTCAAAAGTGGAATTGGGACTTAGGAACTGGAAACTGCATCAACCATGTTTGCCAAAGTAGTTACCTATGTACCTAGTCCTACTAGGTAGCTGCTTGAATCTTTGGTCAAGGCTACTATGCCGCTTAATACAATTGTGGTATGCGACATATTCATCTTATCATATAGCTTTGAGTCAAATAATCAACAAATGCCTATAGTGAGTCATGGGTTGAATGAAATAAGTTCAATAAAAATGTCGTGTGAGTCATGATTGATTTGAATCGATTCATCAAAATGTGTGAGTCATGAGTTGATTCGAATCATTCCGTTGGCTAGTTGCTCGAGTCATGAGTTGATTCGAATTATTTTATCGAGGAACTTGATGAGTCATGAGTTGATTCGAATCAATTAAATTTAACATCATGAGTCGTTTGATGAATCGATTCAAATTTCCAGACTCAAACAAAGAATCGACTCAAAAAAATTGAGTCGTTTACAAGTCTGATGGTGGCGGCATCCACCCCTTCTTCTCGGCCGGCGAGGGTTAAACCTCGCTTCGAATTATTGCAGATAATGATGTGACCAAAAGCAAAGCATTATTCTGTGTCTAGAACGGCCGCTGACTTGTTGGACAAGATCCCCAATCTTAATTCGCTAGATGGGAATAAAATACTCGGTATGTGATACATATAGTTATACCCCTCGATTTGCCCTCGCGCTAAGTCTATTCTAATCATCACTGTCGCTTTTTTATCCGAGATGATGTCGCCGCTAAACGGGTTGTTTTGTTTTTGCTTGCGCTGAATGGCCATTACAGATTATTGAAGGATTATGATAAAAAGGAATGGGGCAAGGGGATATGCACTGCAGGTGTTTAATTTAGATCACAAAGGCATCATTTCCGACATTGTGTAGTCATTATCTTCCCCTCCTCTGCACTGCGGCATCTCTGCGCCCACACACGGCGTCCTCACTCCACGGCCGGCCGCCGCCAACTGACCCACTCGCCGGGCGCCGCGACCTGACCCGTGTCGCTGCCGCGGCCTGCGCAATAGAGTCGGGCTGGAATCCGGGGGTTCGGCCGGCCGGCCGCCTCTGGAGCGGGGGACTTTTTTAGTAGACCTACTGTACAACAGGTTTACGCGATAACTGTATGTTTTGATATGCATGATTAACGGATGCATTAGTTTGGGTGTAGAAACTTGCATATTTATTGGTATATTATTTGTGTAGAACTGGGTAACTGCTTTTAATTGAACTGTAAAGCATGATGGTAATGCATGCGAGTTGTTCGAGCCCTTTGTAAGAATTAGGATGTTACTCAATTCAACCCTACCCTACCCTACCCTACCCTACCCTACCCCTACCCCTAGGCCTACCCCTACACTACCCTACCCTTCCCTACCCTACCCTTCCCTACCCGTACCCTACCCTTACACTACCCTACCCTACCCTACCCTACCTTACCCCTAACCCTACACTACCCTACCCTACCCCTACCCTACCCTACCCTTACACTACCCTACCCTACCCTTACCCTACCCTACCCCCACCCTACCCTACCCTACCCTGCCCTACGCTACCCTACCCTACCCCTACCCCTACACTGCCCTAACCTACCCTACCCTACCCTACCCTACCCTGCCCCTACCCTACCCTACCCTACCCTACCAAACCCTACCCCTAGTCCCTACCCTACCCCTAGTCCCTACCCCACCCTACCCTACCCTACCATATCCTACCCTACCCTACCCTACCCTTACACTACCCTACCCTACCCTACCCTACCCTTACCTTACCCTACCCTACCCCTACCCCTACCCCTACACTACCCTAACCTACCCTACCCTACCCTACCCTACCCCTACCCTACCCTACCCACACTACACTACCCTACCCTACCCTACCCTACCCCTACCCTACCCCTAACCCTACCACCCTACCCCTACCCTACCCTACCCTACCCTACCCTACCCTACCCTACCCTACCCTACACTACACTACACTACACTACCACTGACAGTCCAAGTTTCAGCTAACTCGGCCCAGAAACGGCTGAGTTATTGCAAAAACAAATTAATTGTATTTACTGGCGAATCCTCTTGGCGAGCGGTGCCTTGTGTCGGCCTTCGTTGTCAAAGGTCAACGACCTCCCGGCTCTGATGCTTTTCACTCAGTTTTTTAAGCGAACAACTGAGCCTACCGCGCGTGCTCTCTGCTCGGCGCCGGCCTCGGCCAGCCTGCGGCAGAGATGCACGCGCTGAACGAAAATTCGTTCTGATGGATAGGGAGGATTATAAGGATAAAGTTGAGACGATTTTAAATGACAATGAGAGTTATGAAAAGTTGCCGAAAAATCCAGTTCCGCAGGTGGAAGCGAAGACTAAACAGGTATTCAAGGCGGTAGCTAAAGATAAACTTTCAGAGAAAAACGTGGAAGATCTAACGCCCATGCATAGCAGAACTCCAGTTTTTTACGGCCTTCCTAAAGACCATAAGCCCGAAGTTCCATTGCGCCCAGTAGTTTCAGGCTCGGGTGGGCCTACCGAAAAGACAGCTTGCCTTCTCGAGAGAATATTAAAGCAGCTTTTAGCGTTCATTCCAACTCATCTCTGTGACACTAACGATTTTTTGAAAAGAATGAATGATCACTGTCAAAGACAGTCACTTCCGACAGGGTCCATCTTCTTCAGTATAGATGTAGTAAATCTGTATGGGAGCATACCTGTAGAGGAGGCCATTCAAGCAGCCAAAGAAAAGTTAGAAGCTCACGCGGGGGGGATTGAAACATTTGGTCTAAGCAAGGAGGACATATGTGCTCTACTGGATCAATGCCTACACAACAATGTCTTCTCGTTTGGAGATGCCTTCTTCAGGCAAAAGCAGGGCATCGCTATGGGCAACCCGTGCGCTCCGCCTTTAGCAGTCATCTTCTTAGACAAGTTTGAACAACAAGCTCTGACAGGTGCGGCGCTCAAACCAGACTTTTTGGTTAGATACATAGATGATTTTGCCGGAATATGGAATCATGGAGAGGAGGAGCTGTTCAACTTTCTGACGTAGCTCAATGGCTTGCACCCAAAGTTGAAATTCACCCTAGATCACTCAAAAACGGAAAAGGGGTCCCTTTCTTAGACACCTATGTAACGGTAGAGTCGAATGGAACCAGACAGCTTAAGTAGAGACAGAACTGTACATAAAACCGACGAATTCGGGCATTGTCTTGCATGCCACTTCGGCACATCCCACCTCAACAAACACAACATGATCAGGGCATGTTTCGCAGGGCGCTGAACCTTTCCTCTAGCAAAGCTAAGGGAGCCTCCAGTGTGGAAAAGATCCGTCTTTTACTGGTAAAAAAGGTTATTCACGTAATCTACTCAAGAGGCTCCTCAGAGAGGTACAAAACGACAAACGGACAAAACAAAAACGTGGGAACACACAGAAGGCGGGGGATGACGGTTATTTGACTTTGCCATACATCGATGAGCATTTACTGTGCAAAGTGAACAGCATTATTAAGAAATCCGGACTCAATGTAAAGCTGGCTTGGCGAAATGATATGAAGTTAAAAAAAACGTTTAGTTCGTTCAGCATTTAGCAAACCTCGTTGTCCAGGGGGAAATAGGTGTAATTTGTGCAAGAGTGGGTTCACAGGCCAGTGTACACAAAAGAATGTAGTCTACATGTTAACATGTAAACTGTGTGGTGCAGGAACGACCAGTGCACAGTACATAGGGAAACGAAACGCCCGATACGGCTTAGGTACAATGAACATGTGAGAGACGCCATTGGCAACAAACCAGACACCCCCTATGGGTGATCACTTTGGAAATGTTCACCCAGATGCCAGGGACATTCCTTATAGCATAAGTGTGTCAGTGCATATAGGGCAACGGATCACCCAGATCGCAAAATCGCAGAGTCTATTTTGATTAGAAAACGCAGACCGGAACTGAACTCGAATGTATCGTCTTGGCCTATTATGTAAGTGTATGGATGTGTGTCACTGGATGTACCTGTCTCGTTTATGTAGATGAGTGTTAGAATGCAGTGCGCCAATTTAGGATTTTGATTTGTATTTTCTAATGTAAGAAGTTTGTTAATTAGGCTTAACAATTTCAGTTACTTGTATTCGTATGTCGACTAAAAGTTATCATGATTTGAAAAATGGACTTTAGATTTAATTGCTCGTGATAACGATAGTGAAATAGGAGATAAAGAAAGGAGCAGACAAGAAATGTATTCTTATTCTGTCTTTTGTTAACAATTCCGACGAAGATCTGTGATCGAAATATCAATATCAATATATCCTTTTTGCTAATTTATATTTTACGAGGAAAGGTCATAAATTCTTACTTACCCTACATGGCTGTTGTTGTTTTCGTCAGGCGTCCCAAGAGGCATACCCATAAAGAGCCGGAACATAACTCTGGAATTGAAAAAAAAAAACAGTAGAAGTTAATGTAATTTATACACATATCACGATCCATGACTATGACATTGGTATGACCTTAAGGAGAATATGGCCTTCCTAATTAATTAAACCGGTAAAAACGCCTTTTGAGCGAAGAGCGAGCGGGCGACAGAGTGAGCCCTGCACGTGCGGAAGTGCGAGAGGGTTCTTCCACTGACTTTGCACGGCACCCCAATGACCGGTCTAGAGCATTGTGCCAAATTTGTGCGCAATCGCCCCAGCCGTTCTTAACCCGGCAGGCGGTGGGCCTCCCGGCCACCTTCCGCGCGGTGGGGGGCATTTTTTGCCCCCCCCCCGTATCTCCGAAACTACTGGACGGATCCGGAAAATTCAAACGGCGTTTGATAACCCTGTCAAATTTGTCGAGGGAAACCAAATTTCATTGACCTCGGGGTCACCGATGACGTCACAGGTCAGGTCAAAGATAAAATGTTTCACCGTTCACGGGGCTTCTAGGGAAAGTGCTATAACACCGAGTAAAACGCATTTTGTCGAAAATCAGCGATAGGGCGTCAGTTGTCTAGTACATATGTTGCTATTTGAGGTCACTGGTCATACAAGGTCAGGTCACAGGTCAGG